ATCACACTCTCTCACACATGTAGTGTGAAGGGTAGCAAAGCATGCATCCATGTGCTCATTCCCCATCTTAAGAAATAAAACATTACCAATGCTTGTGAAGCCCCTGTGTGCCCCCCGTAACCATAACACTCCCTGCAAAGGTAGCAACTAATCTGAAATTTGTGTTTATCATGTTCTTGCTTTTTGTTACATGTTTATTACAAATGTATGTAACACTAGATATGTACAATGTGTTACTAAGTTTTGGATATTTGGGTACTAATCCAAATGCACCATAGCCCTGGTGGGGTAGTGGTTAAGTGCTACAGCTGCTAACCAAAAGGTTGGCAGTTCAAATCCACCAGGCACTCCTTGGAAACCCTATGGGGCAGTTCTACTCTGTCCTATAGGGTCGCTATGAGTTGGAATTGACTCAACAGCATTGGGTTTGGTTTTTAATCCAAATGCAACCATACTTGCTTTCTTTTTCACTCAATATTATGTTTTTGAGATTCATCCATGTCGGGATGTGAAACCACAGCCCATAATTTTTCCTTGTTGTGTAGAATTTCACTGTGAATATACTACAATTTATTTATCCATTCCCCTATTGCTGGACATTTGGGCTGTTTCTAGCTTTTTGCTAACACAAAAAGTGTTGCCAAAGAATCATATATGTCTCCTGGTGCACGAGTCACTCTAGGGTATCAGCCTGGTCCTAAAAGTTTTTATTGCCCAGTGGCAAATGCCTGTTCTCTGGTTTGGTTTTCCTTCCAGCTCAGAGTTCTAAGTCCAATACTCTACTCTCCATTAAATTTGTCGTGTGTATCAGCTAGGATTCATGACTGTGAGTGACAAAAAGCCCAACTCAGGTAAGGTTAGGTCACAAAAAAGAAAAAAAAAAAGTCGGGGGAGGAGGACTGTATTCAGTCGCATGACTAAGCAGTTTCGAGAGAGACTAATTTGATCTTGGACTCAACACTGCTGACTGGGTTCGGTGTGTCTCTCCATCTTGGGACTGGCTACCTCTGTCTTGCCTCCATCGTCAGACAGGCTCTCCCCTCCTGAAGGCCAAATGGCGGCAGTCACTTCGGCCTCACCTGCGCGCACATTCAAGCCCAGTGGGACCGAGTGCGCACCTTTGCCTCCGCAGCCCTAAGAAAACGTCAGCTGTGCCTGCGAACTGCCCATTTCTAAGCAATCGCAGTGGCCGAAGGAAAGCAGTACCCTGCTCTGATTGGTCAGGCCTGAGCCACAAGCCCCGCCCCGGAGCCGAAATGGAGTTGGTGGGAGCACCAAGCTTGATGGCGGAAGTGGAGGAGAGGGGAGTTCCTCAGAGGGAAATGGGGACACTGTTCGTAAAAGAAGAGTAGTGACCACAGGGTAGCCCAAAAATCAACATACTTGGGCCCGCTGTGTGATCTGGGACAAAGTACTTGTGGTCCTTGGGTGTTCGTTTATTTGTGGATGAGAGTGATTGGCTAAGATCTGCTAGACCCGTTTAGCTTTGAACTTTGACTGTGGGCTCTGGAGGCCTGTCATTCTCCTCGGGACTGTTGTTCCTTCTAAAATCATAGCGGGCGGGGCCTGCTCCTCTCCAGAACTTCATGTGTTAGCATTTGTGTTTCCAGTCCTCCACATGGTTTACGTCTCAGAGATGTTAGACACGCTGAGATCCCCTCTGTGAGCATATCCCTCGTCAAACAAACGGATCTCTCAGATTAGCTCACCGTAGGAAAACTCCCCAAACTGAGCACTCCACGGAGACCAGCCATTTATAAAGCGCCTAATCACAGTCGCCAGTTTCAGGCTGCAAACTTCAGAGTCTTCTGTGGATATTCACCTTCTTAAGCCCCTGACTCTCCCCTGACTTAAGCCCCTGATTTGTTCATTTTCTTCCTTTAAAATGTCTCTCAGACTCTCTCTCCCTGGTTCTTCTTGCTTGCTCACTCTGATGAATCCAGCTGCCATGTTGTGAGCTGCCCCGCGGAGGGGCCCATGTGGCAAGGAGCTGAGAGCGATCTTAGAGCAACAGCCCGTGAGTAACTGAGTCCTGCTGGTGGCGTCGTCACTGAGCTTGGAGGCAGAGCCTTCCCCAGTTGAGCTTTGAGAAGGCTGTAGCCGGGGCCGAGACCTGGATTACAGAGAGCCAGCTAAGTCACGCCTGGACTCCTGCTCCACAGAAACTGAGTGAGCTTCAGAAAACCATTGTTAGGAAATGGAGACAGTGGGTAACCTGAGCGTGTTCCTGAACTATAAGGAAATAAATCTAAGATTGCACCATCCAGGGTGACAGGGTTGTTTTGTTTTCTAATGGATGTCCTACATCAGGTTAAGTAAATTCTCTTTTATTCCTAAATCATTAAGAGTTTTTCATAAATCCTGGGTTATTAAGAGTGTTTCATAAATCCTAAATTTGTGTTAAATTTTATCAAGCAATTATTTTTATATTGTTATTCTCGTTTGGTCTATAAATTGCTAAATAACATGTATAAATTTTCTAACATAAAACCTTTCTTGCATTGTTGAGATAAATCCAGCTTGGTCAGGAAAAGGAACTGTGTCTCAGATTCATTCTTTGCTTGCCAATCCCACTGCTACCACCTGTGTTGAGCAAAGGGCAGAGCACCAGCCCACTCCTGGGACTGGTGATGAGATAGCCTGTCGGGCCTTCCTGCCTCTGTTTGGCTCTGGGCCTGGCCCAGGAGGAGGCTACTGGCTGCAGGAAGAGCCTTGTGCAATCCACACAGGAGCCTTCGGGTGGGTACCTGATAGGTGCTGAGTCACAGTCCTCACCCAGATCAGGGCAGGGCTGACGGGGCCTCCTGGTCCTTGGGGAGCAAGGGGGGTGTAACAGCAGCTAGTCAGCTGGGGGAGGGGCGAGACAAATACACACGCACAGATGCACACTCACACGCCAGGCGTTTCCCTGAGCTCAGCCCAGCCCGCACTGAGGGATGCATGAGACTCAGTTCAGCTCGCACTCTCTCTCTCTCTCTCTCTCTCTCTCTCTCTCTCTCTCTCTCTCTCGGCTTTATTGGAAGTTCTCAAGTGGAAAGAATCTTTTTTTCTACTTGTGCCCCCTCACTCTCTAGAGCCTAGGGCATGCTACAAAGCAAGTGCCCACAGAGGCAGGGCGATATGGTGATTAAAGCTTGGGCATTGGTTTTGAAAGCTTTAGGTTCTAGTTTTGCCACTTTTGAGCTTAGTGATCTTGGGAAAGTTGCTTAACCCCTACTGATGCCCACCAGCCAAAGACCACCAGGGACACTCCTCCAGTCAGACAAATTTGGAGTCATTGGTACTTGTTGCAACGGAGGAGACCATTCATCATGGGGAACCGGGGAGTGTCTCAGTAAACGGGTGCTGTTGTTATTGTTAGTAACTGTCAAGTAGGCCCCCCGATTCGTGGAGACCCCATGCACGATTAAACAAAATGCTGTTCAGTCCTGCACTGGAATCCCCATGATGGATTGCAGATTGGACCATTGTGATCCATAGGGTTTTTATTGGCTGATTCGTAAAAATAGATTGACAGGCCTTTCTTCCAGATGGTGTTATACCAGTACAGGTACAAATTGCCATCGAGTTAACTCTGCTCATGGTAACCCCTGTGGGTGTCAGAGTAGAACTGTGCTGTGTAGGGTTTTTGGTGGCTAAAGTTTTGAAAGTAGCTCTCTAGCCTTTTTTTCCAAGGCACCTCTGAATGGACGCGAACCTCCAGCCTTTCGATTAGCAGCGTAGCCATTAACCATTTGCATCACAAAAACAAGAGCACAGTGGAGCCACAAAAATGACCAAACATTGCCCTCTGCAGCTAACACAAGTAATTGCTACTTCTTTACCAATTACAGCTTTAGCCCTGCCCCTTTCCCTTGCCTCCTACGTAAAGATTATTAAGAACTCAATTGTAGAATTTCCTCCACTTCCTGACAGCACTCAATCCAGAGAAAAAAATTCACTGTCAGAAATCAGGGGAAATTCTAAGATTGAGTTCTTAATAAATTTCACCCGGGAGGCAGGGGAAAGGGGCAGGGCTAAAGCTCTAACTGGTAAAACAGCAGCAATCACTCCGGTTAGCCAGAAGAGGGCAATGTTTGGTCATTTTTGTGGTTCCACTGCGCTCTTGTTTTTGACCGTACTCAGACACGATTACTGAGTGACCCTGTCCGATATTGGTGTTCTGTGAAATTGCTTATGTTCGTCAGGAGGACACCAAGGCTCAGCAGTCATGTCAGGTCAGCTCACAGCTGCTTTTTTCTTTCTTATCCTTGAGTTTTATCACTGATAAAAATACTACCAAACACATTAGGCAGTTGTGAAGGTTAAGAGAAATAATGTAAAATGCTTGGAACAAAATAAAATTCAATAGCCGGGAGATACCATCATCATCATTGTTAAAAACAATACGAGTCTGTGATAAGATGGGGAAAGCGGAGAATCAAAGCCAAATACACAATGGCAGGAGGAAGAAGGAGCCATTGGAGAGGCCATCTGTCCTGGCGCTCCCACAGTGGTGTCCTCCTGGGCCAGGCCATAGGTGTGAGGGTATGTGTATGCACATGTGTGTCCACGTGTGTGTGCATGTGTGTGTCCACGTGTGTGCGCATGTGTGTGTGTGTGTGCCTTTGGTGTGGGAGGTAAGAGGTGGGTGTGATCGCTGGTACCTGAAGCCGCCTCTCAGGTCAGGCAGTCCCCAGCCTTCCTGTCTGGCACCTGCAGCTTGTACCCCAAATCCACTCTGCTCAGGCATGGAAATAATTAAGTGTGAATATTTTTTTGGTCTGATCAACTGGCGGGGGAGAGAGTTTACTGCTGGGCCCTTTCACACCAGCCATGGACATAAGGGAGAGCTTTAGGCGGAATGTGGCACCCCGGGCAGTCAGACCATCGGCAGGGGTGGCCGGGGCTTGGGAGAGACAGGTAACTCCAGCCCGGGGAGGGCCCGGCTGGGCCTGGCTGCGGATGGGGTTAAGCTCCCAGGCCCTGGAGAGGCAGAGTGGGGCCACCCCTGAGCAGCCTCATGTCTGCACCCCTGGAGGCCGGATCCCTGAGGCATGGTGCTTCAGGGCAGTCCTCAAGGCCTGCAGGATGGTGTCCTGGCTGTTACGCACGTTGTAGTCACTGAGACGCAGCAGGTCGTCAAAGTCTTCCTCCTTGTACGTCATGTTGAACAGGGAATAGGGTGAGGTGGCCTTGTTGAGATCCACTTGGCCAGCTTGGAGTTCTGCAGGGCTGCGCCGGACACCTGCATGGGGCGCAAGGGCTGTTAGGAGCCAGACACAGAGGCCCCCACGGCTGGGCGGGGCCAAGCCTGGAGGCTGGCCCAGGTGAAGGCAGCCCCCCACTAAAGGGGTCCTTGCCTTTCTCCCAGCTCTGTGTCCTTTGCCCAGAAATATAAATGTGTGTTGTTGCTGCTGTTGTATGCTCTGGAGTCGATTCCGACTCACAGTGACCCTACAAGGCAGAGTGAACTGCCCCATAGGGTTTCCTAGGCTGTAATCTTTACAGAGGCAGATCTTTAGGTCTTTTTCCCCGAGGAGTGGCTGATGTGTTCGAACTATTGACTTTTTGGTTAGCACCTGAGCGCTTAACCGTATATATTTTGAGATTTAAGAGTTTGCTGTTCTCCGCATTTCCTTGTCATATTCTACTTCTTTCACTATTTGGGCAGCCCCAGACTGTCTCGATACATTGCTTCTGGGGGAAGTTCGGAGCACAGCAGGGAAGTCAGCTGGGTTATTTCTTAAAACTTACGGTGAAACATGAGTCTGAAAAGCAAAAGGCTTTTGCTTTGCAAGAACCAGTCTTTGCTGAAGGAGAAAGAGTTCTTTAGGATTCCACGATGTGGACTCAACATGCCAAGTGTAAAGCTGGAAGACTTGGAATTCTGGTGGAAACTAGGAAGTTGGGGCAAATGCACAAAGGCAGACATTTGTTTTTCTCACCAAAAGGAGATAGACGTCTGACCAGTTGGTGGGAAGAGAGGATTGGAAGGGATTGATGAGGGTTTAGATATTGGGGGCCCCTGGGTCCTTGAGAAGGAGCCCCCGCTTGGGCTGAGGTAGGATGATAGAGAGGCCAATGGAAATCCCAGGTAAGTTGAGGGGGATCTGAGAGACAGGACGAGGGCCTCTTTTTCCTGCCTCTTTAGCCTAGAGAACCCTGGTGAAGTCCGTCTCCAGCTTGGTGCCTGAGACGTGGTAGAGCTGGCGTCAGACCGGGCCTCAGGATTCAGGGATTCTGGAACACCACTCCACAGAACAGAGGAGTCCAGGCATAGCTACAGGGACTGGGGGCAGGCGGAGGAGCCAAAGGAGGACACAGCAGAGTGACCTTGCCCGTTCAGAGGCTGAGGGAGGGTAAGGAGCACCCAGGGGCAGTCTCTAAGTTGCAACCCGCCCCCCAGTCTCAAAGATGAATAGACGTTGATAGCGGCTACACCTCAGCAGAAACTCCTTGCCCCCTCTCATCCTGCTGCTTCAGTCAGGTGGCTTTGGGATGCCTCGGAATGTCATTCCACACCTCACCTGGTGCCCCCTTGGACTTCCCCCCAGGGGCAAGTGCCCCCTCTGCCCCCTGTTAGCAACAGAGGCTGGGCACTCTGTCTAAGACTGGGGGGGACTAGCCTCCCGCCTTGTCCTGCTCAGACTCTCCCCCTCTCTGCTCAGTGGCAGGGACAGCTGGGAGGGGCCCAGGACCAGGCCACCTGGCTGAGAGGGAGTGGAGGGGCTCCTCACCAGGGGCCGAGTGGTCCTTGAAGGAGGCGTTGACCAGCGGGAAGTGCAGCAGGGCAGGAGCCTTGGGGCAGTCAGGGTCTGAGAAGAGGTAGCACTCCCGGGGCTGATGGAGGTCCTGAGCGCTCAGCTCCACACAGGGGAAGGGCAGCCCCTGGGCCCGGCAGTACAGCTCAGTCTGCTGCAGCACCTGGGGAGAGGGGGCGCAGAGAGAACTAGCTGCTCCCGAGTCATTCCAAACCTAGGATCTAGAAAATGCCGGCAGGTTCCAGCCCACACTGGCTGCCTTGGTAGCAAGGCTACATCCAGGTTTGGTTCTGCTAGTGACCCAGTTATGTGCCATAGTACCTTGGAGGCAGTCTAAGGATCCCAGTGACCTGCAATATTTTCCTATTAAAGTCTTTAGGTGGGTGCAGACCCAACACCACGCCCTATTTTTGATGGCTGTTGCTGGATTATTCAAGCCCCAGAACCCAGAGGACCTCAGTAGGGAACGCACCTCTACATCACAGCCCTGCGCCCCACAGAACCCCAGCGTGCGCCTGGGGGCAGGGGTGTAGAGATGCCTGGGTTCTCCTCCCAGCTCTGCCCAAGTTGTCCCCTTGGGGGAGGGAGGTAGGGTTGAGGGTCCTCTGTTCACCTGTCCTGGGCACCCAGGGCCCCAGCACCACATCCCTTCCCAACCAAGGACCCTGGCAGGAGACTGTTAACCGTCCATCCCCTTGGGGACCCACAAGGTCTGGGCCAGTGGCTCAGTGGTCCTGCTGCCTGCCCCTAGAGCTTGACCTGGCTGGGCAGAGGGCCTGGGATTCCTATGGCAGCTTTGGGGTGGCCAGAGGCACCTCAAAGGGTGAGGACAAGGAGTAGTCAAAGGAGAGGATGAGGTCTAGCCTACGGCCTGGTCGGAACATGGAGGGGCAGCTGGTGTTGATAAAGTATCCGGTGTCCACCAGGCAGAGCTGGGGCTCCTGGACGGTCAGCTGGCCGGGGGTGCAGTCTAGCTGGCAGTCTGGCGGGGGAAGCAGCCACAGTCAGGGCAGCCACCCTGCCACTGATGGTCCACCCTTCCCTCTTCACACCACAACTGCCTGCATGTCCCCTTCTTGCCTCTGGCAACCCTCCCTGATGCAGCTGCTAGCCAGCCCCTCGCCAGGACTTCCCAATGGTCTCTTCTCAATTCACACCCCAGAAGTGGATCCCATGACCCCCAAGGCCTCTGCAGGTCTGTAGCCATGGGCCATCCCCCCTCAGGAGCCCAGCCTCATCACCTGGGGACACACGCCCACGGCCTCACCTGCCCAGGTAGAGAAGTCTTTCTGGCTGTAGTAGTCCTGGTGCAGCTGGAGGCCGTGGAGGAAGTTGGGGCTGCACTGGTGGAGCGGCCTGTTTTCCAGGAAGCCCTTGAAGGCCTGGGCCAGCGCCGTTCCAGGCTGCAGCCACGAGGCCTCTAGGTATGAGGAGGTCTCTGAGCAGGCAGGGGGCTCCTTCTCTGTGGCCAGAGAAAGAGACACTGGTCCTTTAGAGGCCTGGGAAGGCCTGGCTGTTGGCTCTTCTTTCTTCTCAAAGCCCACCCCTCAACCAGCATCTGAAGAGGAAGAGGCCTCATCCCAGGCTCCCCTCAGCGCCCCCTTTCCTACCTGTGTTCCTCATCTTGTCCTTGAGGTACTGTTTCCAGGCTTCCCCAGAGCTGGTGAGGCCATGCCAGAGATCCAGCAAGTTCACGGAGACAATGTTGCTCCAGATAGCTGAAGGGCCAATATCCCCAAGAGAGGTCAGGCACCCTGCCCCCCGCTGGAAGCCAGTGGTCCCACCCTTGGGTGTTGGGAGAAAATGAGAGGGGGGAGGAGGAGTGCTCCTGTGGTGGCATTTCCCCACAGCCCGGGCCCCCTCCCATCACCCTCGGCCTCTGCTCAGACCTGAGCTACGGGAGTCATGTCCAGGCAGAGGGGCCTGGCCTAGGACTGGCCACGGCCTTCTGAGTGACCCCCTCACCTTCCAAGAAGCAGATCCGGGACTCAGGGATCTTCCTCATCAGCTGCCCCATGAAGAAGTCAGAGCCCAAGAGCTCAGAGGGGACGAAGGCCCCATACTTCAGGAACCCAACCTCGTAGGGGGAGTACTCAACCCACTCTAACGGAGGAGAGGCAGGCGTGAGGAGAGAGGGCCGGGTCCCAAGACGCTCCCCCAGCAGGCCTCAGCCTCCCTCCTGCCTGGCAGGTGTGGACACCAACTCAGCAGATGCCACAAATGCAGGCTCCTGACCACCCACCTCCGACCCAGCCTCTTGTCCACATCCTCACCCCCACCCCAGGACAGAGAGCCCCCCGGCCCCTCCTGAGCCCACCCTTCCAGAACATTGGGTAGCCAGGACAGGAGTTTCATGTTTGAATTTTCTGGGGACCCTCGGCGTCTAGAGGATTGGGATGTGTGTTGGGGACGGAGCGGCCAGGACTGTACCCTTGAAGTCGAGGGTCTCCAGATGGTTCTGTTTCACGTTGAGGCTCAGGTAGAGCGGCAGAGGGTTCTGGCCCCGCTGCAGTGCAGCCCTCTGTCCCGACAGCGTCTGATGCACCTCCTGGTGGGAGGCATAAGGGGCTGAGTGAGGTGGGGAGCACCCCTGAGGTGACAACCCCGCCAGGACGAGGCAGAGTGGGGGCCCAGGCTGGGCGAGAGGAGGCAGCCCCTCCACTGAGCCTCCTCTCCGTTTAAACGGACTTGGGGGACATGGGTGGCGTGTGCACATTCAGCTCCCCCGCCTGCCCCGTGTTCTGAGCAGCCCCATACGCAGGGTTGCCGTGTATGGCTACGCTGGGCCTGCACTGCTTGTCTCCAAGGAGCACCACTCACAAGGACTACGGTGCCCACAGGGCCGTGCCCCCCTGCATCCTGGGCTCCAGTGGCCCTGTCTTTACGGGTCAAACGGTGCAATGGATGTGGACACGGACACAGACGCGAAGGCCCAGACACGTGCTTACACGCATGCATATGTATCACTTTCCAGAAAGGACACAGAAATCCCCGTTTACCACCCATTGTAAGCCATGCCAGGGGATGGACTGCCCCTTCTGGGTTCACCTTGATGCGGTTCAAGTTCTAACCCCTCCCAGATGCCTTTCAGACAGCCTTGCCTCCCCCTCATCTTCTTGCTCCCTTCCTGCTTCACACAGAATAATCTTATTTATTTATTCTTGCCTTCCGTTCCTAATTTTCTCTTCAGTAAAACCCCAGCTCTTTGTTGGCAAGGACCATGACTGGCCTTTTTTGCGGGAGCTTCTACAAAGCCTCACCTAGTTCCAGGGGCACAGAACCAAAACCAGTCACCATCAAGTCTGCTCTGACTCATGGTGACCCCATGTGTGTCAGAGTAGAGCTTTGTTCCAGAGGGCTTCCAATGGCTGATTGACGGGAAGTAGATAGCCAGGCCTTTCTTCCGAGGTACCTCTGGGTGGAGCTGAACCACCAACCTTTCAGTTAGCAGGACCATTTGCACCACGCAGGGATTCCCACCGAGTTCTAGAAGCACAGAAAAGTCTCCGTAGATCCCGGACCAGAGATGCAAATAGGACCCATCTCAAGCATCAGCAAGGTTAATGTGGTGGCTGCCTGGGGCACCACCGTGGGGGCAGATTCTGCTGCCACAGCTGAGGGTGAGGCTGTCAGTCCCGGTTCTGAGCTTCTGAAGGAGCAGTCCATGCACCACAAATATGTCACCCCTTCCTTAGACTCTCCAAGCCGGAAGCGACCTTGCTCCGTGTCTCACCCTAGGGGGTTCTTAACTTGCCCATCAGCCCTTATCAGCAGATTTACTCAGAGAGCACATTAAATATACAGATGACTTGGTCTTTTCTGAGAATCAGGAATTTCCCCTTATTTTAATCTCCCCAGGTGATCCTGACGATCAGCCAGGACCCTGGCCAGGCCTAGCCAGTGAGGAGAGACCCTCCCACGGACGGCAAAAGCCCAGTGTATTTCCTCTTCCCCCGGCAGCCCCTGCCCTGTCACTCGACAGGTGCCAACCACAGCCACCTTTCTCCCAGATCCTTCGCTGGAACCCAGTATAACAAGTTTCAGGGAATCGTCAGGAGAATCGCCAAACAGACCTCAAGCCCACGTGGTATCTAAAAATCAGTCCTGTAGGTGTGCATGTGCGTACCTGCTGCGAAGGGAGGAGGTGTGATTAATATCTGCACCTCCCCGTCTCACAGTCTTTTTATTGAGAAATCCTGTTTGCTTACTGTTTTGATATGTATGACGAGGGGAAATGTGTCCTTCGACCAGAGTTGCACAATTTCTGCCCCGGGGAAAGGCTTGGAAAAGGGTCAGAACACCCCTCCATCTACTGAAACAGTTCTCAGTATTCCCTACGATGGCTCAGCAGTAAGCTGTTGGCAGAGTCCCTGGGTGATGCAAATGGTTAAAGCACTCGGCTGCGAACCAAAAGGTTGGAGGTTCAAGGACACCCAGAGATGTCTCAGAAGAAAGTCCTGGCAATCTACTTCTGAAAAATTGGCTGTTGAAAACCCTGTGGAGCACAGCTCTACTCTGACACACACAGGGTCACCGTAAGTCGGAACTGACTCGATAGCCGTTGGTCTTTAAGCTGCAGGCAGTTCTCTAGGTCTCTAGTCCCCTAATCGCCAAATGAGTCTCCCCAACCCTGTGAAACACCATTCTGATGACTCAAAGGTCTCACCCAAAATGTCAGTGTTGGTGATGTGTTGACGTGGTTTGGACATTGTACGTGGTAGGACTAAAGGGTGTATACAACCCTTTGCCCGAAGTTGAAGAAAACGTGTAAGACCTTCTTAACTCAGGAAGAGTTAAGATAAAAATTCTGAGTTCCTCCTTGAGGTGCGGTGAGCAGCTTCTAAGCAGTTCAGTGCTTGCCAGCAAAAGATTAAAGAAGAAAGTTTCAAAGAGGTAGTTTGAAAGGCATTGACTATAACTGGTATATTTTATAAGTGGGTTTTTCTCAAAACTGAAGCAATGTTATAGAATATTTCTCTAATCCTTAGTATTATTTAAATTGTCATTTGTCACTATTGGAGTTATACTTCTGACATTTTAAAATGATTTCTAGCAGTAATAAATACCTGTTTTAATCTAAAAATGTTTAAAAATGTTATCTGTAAGAGCTAAGTCATGATAACTAAGAAAAAGGAAACAGTCAATTGAAACACTTTCGTATCGGGACAGTTTTCTAAGACCATTTGGTTGCTCATTTTTCAGAATACGTAGATGGTAGATGTCCAATAATACCAATTTTTATCAGTGTGGACAGTGAAAAATCAATTAGGTTTGCCTTTTTCAAAATGACTGTAAACCTTGTACATAAAACCATGCATTAAGTCATGACTGGAGGATGAAATGATAATTAAATAAAAATCTTCTTTATCGCCTAGGATCAAACTGCATTTTGTAGCACCTCAGAACACCGACTATTAAAACAAACTTCTCCTCTGCAGTACTCAGTGCTGCCACTGGTGGCAAAGTCAGTTATTAAAACACAACACCTTCCAAACCGTAGACCCAAAGAATACAGAGAACATATTAAGAAAATAAAAATATTGCAAGTAATTATGTTGGTTTTAGTCAAGAGGGTCAGTTAAAAAAAGAAACGTAGACTTTATTTCTGGTAATGATGGGTTAGGTTATTTAGACTGCCCACTGCCCTAAAAATACTAAAAATGTTAGATTAAAAAAAAATTTATTTTTAAATCTTTTTAGAACATTGAAGAACAGCCAAGGGAGTGAAGAACCATCAGGTCGAAATCTAAAAGCTAATGGGAACCCTGAGCTATAAATGAGTGCCTGAGCACCAAAGCCACTTTGCCCTGATGGCCTTTGTCCTTTTGGCAAACTTGGGCCTCGTGTTTAGCATGCTGTGACGGTTAATTTTATGTGTCAACTTGGTTAGGCTGTGGTTCCCAGTGGTTTGGCCAAACTCTAGTCTAGTTGCTGTTCCACAAGGCGATCTAATGTAATGTAATCCCCTTCTATAATGTGATCTAATGTAATCAATCCGTTGAAAAGGGGTTTCCTTAGGGTGTGTTCTGCCTAGTGGCTATAAATAAATATGTTGACAGAACTCTGTCTTCACTTTGTGCACTTCCCGTCACCTGACCTATGGATCTTGGGACACAAGTCTGCAGAAGTCTCCAGCTTGCCACCTGACCTATGGAATTTGGACTTGCCAGGCCCCACAATCACATGAACCAATACCTTGAAGAAAATCAAACAATCTCTCTCAATATATATGAATTTCACTGGTTCTGGTTCTCCAAAGAACCCTATGACACATGCCTACAGAGCAAAAGGGACAGAAGTCAGGGTGCAGGCCTGAGGGCAGATTAAGCTGGGAGCTCCAAAGGTAAGAGAGGTCCAGAAATAAACTCACCCCCCACTACCCCAAGCCTAGAAAACTGCATCTTGCAGTCTAAGTGAAATACAAGGGCCTCCAGCAACCTCACTGACTCTGAAACACAGTGCAAAAGCTGTATTTGCATAACTTTGACACTGACTGGTCCCTGGCTCTTGGAAAACCCAGAGATTTCTATTTCATGGCAATTAATTCAGAATATCCTCGGGAGACCCTAACACACGGTGGCGCCCACATCCTTTAAAAATCTGCCCTGGCCTCTCGCACCCTGCAGGAAGGTGCACCCCCTGACAGCTATGTGGTGCTCCTGCCTCCTCCCACGCCCCACCCCGGGGGCACAGGTGCCTACCTGGCCATGCAGCATGTTCTCCAGCACTAGGGCCCACAGGTCCACAAAGGTGGTAGGGTAGCCCTGCTCAGCCCGCACCTTCAGCCCCTGCAGGTAGCTCCTCAGGGACTCTGGGGAGAAGGTCTCCAGCTTGCTCTTGGCCATGTGCTCCCGGGCATGTAGGATGGGTCCCTCGAGGTCCTGCTGTGACCACTCAGGGTCCCCATACAGGTGGGCCATTGCCCTGGGAGAGCAGGAAGGCAGGGTCAGTAGGAGGCTGAGGCCTAGCATGGGTCGCTGTAACTCCTCCCTCCCACCCTTGAGCCTCTCCCAACTCATGGTTCCCGCCACCAAGGCCCCCCGTCTTGAAAATCTGTCTCTTGGGGCTCCTCTTCTTCTAGACCAGCACTGTCCAATATAAATACAATGTGAGCCACATATGTAATTTTAGATTTTCTAGCAGCCACATTAAAAAGGTTAAAAAAAAAGTGAAATTAATTCTGACACCATATTTTGTTTAATGCAATATATCCGTATATCATTACTATTTCAAGATATAATCAGCATAAAAAATTAATGACATAATTTACATTCCTTTTTTCAAACCACGTCTTCAAAATGCACTGTGAAGTTTATATTTACGGCACACGTCAATGAGACTGGCCATATTTCAAGTGCTTGGTAGCCACATGCTGCTCATGGCTACCATATCTACAACATTTCTCCTATCTTCACAGGCTGTCCTGAAGTCCTTTAATACTACGCCAGTCAACAGCTGTTACCTAAACCCCTCTGAGGTTTTAGCTGGTAACAGCCTTTCTTCTTCTTCCTGAAAAATCACATTTCAGTAAGATTCACAGGAATGAATCTCTAGCAGTGAAATATTCCAAGGGGAGGCAATGTTGTCTTGAGGCAGAGTAGCATCTCTCAGCCTCAATTTAGTCAGCGATACTGTATGGATAATAATCGAAACCACCCCAGAGAGTGTTCATGAGGATGAAAGGAAAAAGAACTACCAAATTGGAGCTTCTCTTACGGGATCAGACATTATGTCAAGTGTTTTACTTGGGTTACCTCCCACCAATTCTATGGAGCACACGGTGTTATTCTGCCTATTTTGGAGATGAGTCAACTGAGAATCAAAGGAATAAATTGCTGAAGGTCATCCAGCCAGTGTGCGGCGGAGCTGAGACTGAAACCCAGTTCTTTCTGAATCAGCTACCTCATACGCCTTCAATAATGTCTAAGAATGGACATCTTGCATCACCTAGCTCATAGCAGAATTCTGTAAATGTTTCCTTCCTTTTGAGAGAGCCTTCTTGACACCTATCAGACCACACTGCTCATACCCACTTGGCTTTCTCGTATAGAAGGTCCCTGCAGCATCTACTCTTTCCCTCTCTGGACCCTGGTCATCTCTGCTAGTCCCCAGGGTCCTCACCATGTAGAGCCTGAGGTGCCACTGAAATAGGTCACACAGTCCAGGAGACCCAGCTTCTGCAGGGCCAACAGGTGGCCGTAGAGTGAGGTCATGGCCCGGGCACCCCCTCCGGTGGCCATGATGCCCACGACAGGGACCTGGAGCACACACAGACACATCAAAGGACAAGGATGGAGCTGTCTTCTACCTTACCCACGGCCCCATCTGCTCTCTGCCTCCAGGGAACAGGGCCTCGTGGTCAGGGCCTCTCAGTCCAGGTTGGAGCTAGAACCCAGCCCCCACCCAGGACAGGGCCCAGGACAAAGCCCCAAAGGGGATGAGAACCCCAAAGCTTACCCACAGCCCCACAGCTCCCCAGACATGCCCACTACCCAGTCTGGAGTGTCTGGAGAGGGTATAGGTATCAGGCTATCCTTAAGGCACCACCAGACCTCATCCTCCTGCAGGTCGCCCTCCAGCTGCAGGACCTGGGACCCCCACCCTGCAGCCCAGCCCCCAGACCTCGTCCTCCTGCAGGTCGCCCTCCAGCTGCAGGGCCTGCTGCAGAGCCTTGGCCACCACCTGCTTCCTCCTGCTCAGGAAGGCCTGCTCCTCTGCACACAGGTCGAAACCCAGCCGCACAGCCAGCTCCTTGGGGCTGGGGCAGTGGAGGATCCAGTGGTCAGGGGGCAGCTGCATAGTGCAGCCACGAGCTGGCCAAGCTCACAATGAATTGCCAGAGAACCCCCTGCCTCCAACCAGGATCACCCTTTTCCACAGCACTTCCCTTTCCCATGATACCCCTCAGTTCCCCACAAATATGGATGTCCCTTACCAGCTCTCTGCCTTGAGCTGAAGCCTCACTCCTGGGGCCTAAAATCAAGACAAGAGACCCTGCTCAGAACGTCCTGGGCCGTAAGAAGGACATGGACTCCCCCGTCCTCTGTCCCCCTGGCACTGCCCATCCAGTTGGGACCACTTACATTTGGGGCAGGAAGATCAACGGTCACCATCTTCCCCATGGTCAAGGACTGCAGGGGCACAGTGAGGTGCTCAGCTGAGTTGTCTGAGTTCCAGCCATTGCTTGTGGAGCTCTGGGAGGAAATATTCACTCATTCATTCACTCACTCATTCAATAAATCCTTACAGAGTATCTAGAACACCTAGTCATCCAGACAGACACGGTCCTTCCCTGATATTCATTAATAATTACAAAAATAATAATAGCTAACATTTATTTAGTGCAAAGGCATTGTTCTAACCAAATTGCATGTATGAAGAAACAGATAAGTAGCTGGCGTTACTTTCTATGTTTCTTTTATAAGTACTGTAACGGAAACAAGCAGCGGGATGTGACGGAGCAAAGGTGGAGTGTGTGGGGTCTGCTTTAGGTGAGGCGTCAAGGACGGCCTCTCTGAAGAGGCGCCATTTGAGCTGAGGTGTGAAGGAGGAGGAGGAGGAGGCAGCCTTGGAAGAGCCAAAGGAGGACGGGAAAGTACTCGGCACGTTGGAAAAGCAGGAAGAGAGAAGCGTGGCTGGAGCATCATGAAGGAGGCGGAGCAAGAAACAGAATGAGGCAGCAGAGGTGGGCAGGGGCCAGGCTGGGCAGGGCCCAGAGGACCACAGGCATCAGACTTTATTTCAAGAGCATTACTTGGGGAACCACTGAAGGGTTTAAACAAAGGCTGACGTGGCTGCAGCAGCCCCCAGCGCCCCCCAGCCTCTGGTAATCTTCAATGTCTGCTGCTATGGGAGTGAGGCCTAACTAGGGGGGCAACAAGACCACAGCGGGCCGGGCCTTGGCAGGGGGAATGCCAGGGAGGGGTCCGCAGCAGCTGGAGCAGCTGGAGCTGGCCAAAGGTGGGGCTGGTGGGACGGTTCTAGTGTCGAGACTCACCCGCAGGCGCCCGCTCAGCTCTGTCTCCTGGGCTGCCATGTAGTGGAAGCGCAAGGCAGAGGCTGTGCCCAGAGTCATTGTCTGCGTGTCCTCATATGACCCCTTAACCACCAGCTCCAGTTTGTCCTGATCTGGGGGAGAGAGTGGGCAGGTCAGACAAGAGGGTCGCGGTGTTTGTTAGCGTGGGGGGAACAAGAGCCCGGAGCCCCAGCGCAGACCCAAGAAACCAGCAGTAATGCTTGGACGTGGTTGAGGCCCGGGAGGCTTGTCGGTAGTAATCAGATTCTGAAAAGAGACCCTCCCCGGCCTGCTGGGCCCCACAATCCCCATGGGGCTCCCAGGCCCACAGCAAACTCTCCCCCAGGTCAGGGCAACCTCCTGCCCAGAGGAGACCGGTTGCTTTGTGGATGAGAAGGGAGAGGCAGACGTACCTTGCTCGCTCACCACTCCATGCAGGTCTCCCAGCTACCTTCATCTACCGCCCGCTCTCACCTGCAGGTTCCAGGCAGAGCCCCGAGCTGGCTCCCAGCCGTTCTCACCTGAGGCCACGGCCGTGCTCCCTGTGCAGTCCAGACTCGCGTTCAGGCACGACAGCTCCCGGGCCTGGGGCAGACCACATCATGGGCAGAGGGCTCTGCTGGGCACACTGAGGTCCCCTCAACCTCAGCCCTCTGAGCCCTGCTGTCCCCAACCCACCATGCAATTGAACAAGGAACAGGTACCTGAGTGGGGCTGCATGCAGAAACCCCACACCCCATCTCTGATCCGTACAGCTGGACGCTAACCCAGACGCTCTGGAGCAGTCAGGGGAGCCCCAGCCCCACCAGCTCCCCAAGCCTCCCCTAGCTTTGCCAAAGCTCTGGAATCCCTGAAAGACTCCCAGCTCTCAGGCACAATTCTTTCCTCTCTACATGTCTCCTGTAGCCTAGATTTGGAGGATGGCTCTCAAATAGCACTTGACAGGTGATGGAATGCGTACCAGAGGAAGAGTTAAAATTTTAGTGCAAGAATATCTCCCAAGCATCCTCTGCTTCACTGACCTGCCCTTGCCCTGTCTGTATTCTCTTGTAAAGCACTGGGCATCCTTCTGTGGTGCCACAGCCCGCTGGACTCTTGCCACTAACCGTCTCCTATACCAGTTATCAGTTACTATCGAGTCGACTCTGACTCACGGTGACCCATGTGCATGCTCCATGGGGTTTTCAATGGCTGGTTTTACGGAAGTAGACTGACAGGCCTTTCTTCCGAGGCACCTCTGGGTGGATTCAAACTTCCATCCTTTCAGTTAGCAGCTAAGAGTATTAACCATTTGCACGACGCAGGGACTGTGTTCTATACAATTGCTCTATTTATCAATCCATCCCTCAGATAAGTGGCAGTTGCCTTAAGTATGAATTTATTTCGACACGTATTTTAAAAAGTAGCACTAGCCCATCAAACAGGCACTTGCATGACCCTGACAGTGAGTGCCTCCTTAAATTTTGTGCCCTAGGCACCTCACTCGCCTGACCCTGGTCCAGGCCCTGCTCCCAGGGCAGGCCAGGCTGTAGGACCACGTTTGAGTAGAACTCGTCTGATGTGGCATCCGCCACCTAGTGGCCATTCCTGTTTACTGCACCTTCGTGAGCTTGCTGCTTTAGGAGCACTGACCAGGGCCTCTCCTCTCCCAGAGAGGAGCTGATCAACCCCCTGACCCTATCCCAAATCTCTGGGAGTGGAAGCACAGAACCTTGGGAACTCCCTCTGGGCCTCATATATCTGAGTCTTAACCACCTCAAGTGGGGCTGGCTTGCATGACTTCTTCACCAGTCTTCAAGCGTTAGGAACCCAGCTCATCACGTGTGACGAAACACCATCAGGATGCACCTAAAATTCCTCCAGTAGTCCCTCAGCTAGAATAGCCACCCAGCAGAGCCTCTGCCCCGCTCTCCACGTTCCCCTTAGGCCCAGGTACCTCCCTGTCCCACAGTCCCTGACCACAGCCCCAGATAACCACCTGGGTGGCTAGGAGTGGTTTTAACACAAATCCCTGTGCCTGCCTCACCCCTTCTGGCCCACGCGCAGCAGCTGCCCCTGGGCTCACCCCACCCCAGTGCCTGCTCTGAGGCACTTCCCCTTCAGCACCCTGTCATGAGCCTGGGAAGTTACCACAAGGACGCTGTTGGTGGTGAGGTTTTCTGGGTGGTCCAACCTGAAAAATCAAACCATCCAGAGTCTGGCCTTGCAAAGGCAAATGCTTCCTGCATTGGCCTGTGCCCCTCCCAGTCAGAGCTCAGACCATGTGGGGCCTCCCTGGGTGATGCTGAGGGTCTCTAGGCCCTGGGTAAGATTCAGGGTGAAGGTAAGATGCTTCGGAAGAAGGGTAGGTGGAGGAGAGAGAGTAGGACAGACAAAACATTGACTTTCTCTCCTCATTTCTCAAGGTAGACCACCACCCAGACCTCTCTGGCAGAGGTGGGGACATAAGAGACAGTGAATTTTGACTGGACTGACCCACAGGAAGATCTGGGTCAGGGCCAGAGCTCTCTCTCCCTACATAAAGCCGGGGTTCTCAGACACTGCCTAGCTGTGTGATAGTACTCACGTTTTCTCCACCAGGAACTCTACATCTAGCTCCACCTGAAATCGAAGTGGATGAACAAGTCGTCAACATTTACATGCATCTTTAGAGTTGACAGAGTTATTTTATGTACATTATCTCATCATCTCAAGCAAGCTATAAAGCAGACACTGTATTACAATTATTCCCATTTCACAGATGAGGAGACTGAAGCTTAGGGAAAGAAGATGGGCCACTTGACCAAGTTACCCACAGCTCATAAGTCTGCAGAGAACAGATCTCCCCTCTCTTCTGGGTTTCAAAACTCTGGGCAAGGCTGAGGGGAAGTCAAGAGCACAGGCCGAGGGAGGCTTAAGGATGATCAGCAACAGTTTCATCTTCCTCTTGAGGGGGATCCAGATCCCACCCTACTGGCTTCACCCTCTTGGAGAGAGAGCACAGAGATCTTGATAAAGCAGGCCTCGGGCACCATGAGAGGATCAGAGCAGTGATCAGAAGCGATGGAGCCCACAATGGCCCCAAGGGTTGGTTACACCGAGGTGTGTTTCAAGGGGCAATAGGAAGTTCTCCACCACCCAAAACCTTCCTCCCACAGATGACTAAAATTGCTCCATAGAGCGATTCAGTCTGTAACCATAAATTCAAGCCTTCTCTCTTCCTGTTAAAGTACTGATATCTCTGGGAGGAGTTTCTATCTTTCTGTGGATGAGTTAGACCCAGGAGCATGCCAACAGATGGAAGAAACTGAGCAACTTCCTCATCCAGGAGCTGGGAGACGCAGGGCCCATGGGGCTTCCCCACCCACCTGAGGACTCCAGGAGAAGGTCTTCTGAAGCAGCTTGCCAGGCAGGACTTCTGAGACATCATAGAGAAACTTGAAGAAGAAATCATCCTTTTTAACAAAATCCTCATCATAGATGCTCAGCTCCAGAACATTCTAGAGACCCAAGAACAGTAACTTAGCACATTATCTACTCATAGCAACAATAGGGCACATCTGTTGAACCCTGCTTGATGCCCAGGGCCAGAAAGATAACTCCACGCTTTGTGCTTCAAATTTAAAATGACCATAAAACTTAAAAGAAGTATATAAGGAAATCTGGCAAGGTTCCTAAATTCCGCTTCCTAATTTTTCTTTTTTTTTAATCAAGATTAAAATTCTTTCAGAGAATTTCCTCTTCCTCTCTCCCTGGCTTTGCTGATTCCCTAAGGCATTCTACTTGTAGGCACTGTGCCAGGAGTCTTCTGCACGTCTTCTCATTTAACCTCACAACAACCCAGTCAAGAGGAGATTTACTGTCTCCATTGATAGATGGGCTTAGAAAGGAAGCAGCTGGCCAGAGGTTGGTCACACAGCCAGGTCGTGAAAGGACCACGTACGATCACACGTTTTCTCAAAGCAAACACGCAGGCCGGGACAAAAAGATACCCCCCTCCCCAGCGTATCTTGGACTGAACCCTAGAGGAACGTGTGCGCCATTAAGAAACCTCCCGAGGGGGGTACTATCTGTCCTCAGGTAGGTGGTCAGGGGTACCCTGGTCTTCACCTTGACCTGACTCTGGATTCTGAAGGTGAAGGTCTCATTCCATACAGGGTTGTTGGAGTTGGTGACGGTCTTGGTCTTAAACTTTGTTCCAGGTGCAGTCAGCAGCTGCAGGATCACATACGAGTCAGCCTCGCTCACTGCCAACCAAGAGAACAGTGGTAAGGGTGAGAGAGAACTCTCCACACCCCTCCTCTCCAGGGGCCTTTCCAGCTTCCTACCAAGACCCCAGCTGCCCCACGGGCAACCCAGGCCAGTCCCAAGACACTTGTCTGGCCCTTTACCATGGGGTCGGGTCACCCCATACCCCTCCTGGAGCCCAGAAGACCTTTACTCACACAGGTCAGCCCAGGGCAGGTTCCGTGCCTCCAGGACCTTGACGGTGAGCTGCCAGCAGGGAGAGGCCTCCTGGAGAGAAATAACAGCTGACTGAGTCCCGCCTGCTCATTCACTGCCCAGAACTCCCAGCTCTGCTGCCTGAGCCCCATGCCGTGGACACCCCCACCAGTCTGCGCTGAGACTTCTCCCCAGATATTTGGTGGTGCTGATCCATTTCCAGGCATCTGGGGCAGTTCTCTGGGGACCAAACAACGTTTGTCCACCACTGCTCCTGGGGTTATGGGAAGGGCAGACTGCACCCCCAGTGGCGGAATTTGTGGGACACACCCCTTCAGGGATGGGACTGCCCGATGTAGTGGAGAAAGCCATGCCCTGAGGGCCCAGGCACTGCCGTCCCACTGGATACATCAGTTTAGGGTCTGCCACCCAGAGCTCCCAGGGAAGGCAGCCCTGTGGTGCAGTGCGCCTAGCGCCCCCTCCTCCAGCCCTTCTGGACAGGAAGTGGACATGTGACTTGTGGAGGCTGAGCCCTGGGGACACCAGTGGGCTGGGATGTCACAGGCCCTAAGCTGGAGCTCAGCCTGTCTGTGCGCTCTTTGGGTTTGAGTTAGGAAACTCCAGGAGCATCAGGCTAGCTGTGATGGGATCCATGGATGCTGCAGATGGAAGATCCTTGTGATGAAGATGCTGGTGAGGCCGAGTCAGGCCCCAGACAAGCCAGAGAGGGATGAAGAGAAGAAACTGAGTTGCAGAAGCTCTGAGGAGATGAGCAGAGAGTAGGTGACAGGAGGAAAAGAGGCAGCAGACCAGGGCACGGCTGAGCATCCCCGAACTTCACTGCAGAGGGCCTTGGCACTGCTGGGGTCCGAGGGCACCTCAGACTTCTGCTCTTCTGGATACCTGCGCAGGTTTCTTACAATAAGGCCCTGCTGTCTGAGGTAACTCAAATAGTCTGGCAGGACACAGGTGCATTTTTCCCATGGGCTGACCCCGAGGAAGGCAGGTAGAGAGCATTGTCTTGAAAGGGACTCTGCCCAAGAGGACCATCTGGGGGGTACATGGCGCCAGCAAGAAGAGCCTGTGTGGGGTGGGCATTAGAAATGAGGCCGAGGGGGATGTAGCCATCAGGAAAGAGCATTGACTGCACGAGTGCTGGCTTCACACCCTTGGGGACCCAACTCTCCACTCCCCACAGAGAACCTGAAGGGACTGCCAGGCCACACAAGGCCACACATGACTACAGCCTGTGCCCCTCACCCTCCTCCCCGGCCCCCTGCATCCTCCCTCGCTTGTGTCTCAGTGCTGAGCTGGAAGAGGCCCTGGCGTCCCCATCATTCCTGTCAACTTTCCAGCAGAGCACCCGTGATCCCCCCAGCAAGGCAGACTTGTTTTTCCCTTCTTGGGGATTAACCCCAATGTCATGGATTGGGTTGTGTCCCCCCCCTAAAAATACCTGTCAGCTTGGCTGGGTCATGATTCCCAGTGTCGTATGATTGTGTAATCTGATGTGATTTCCTTATGTGTTGTAAATTCTATCACTGTGATGAAGTTATGCTGATGAGGTTTACAAGATTAGATATTGTCTTAATCCAATCTCTTGAGATATAAACGAGAGAAGCAAGCAGAGACATATGGGAACCTCATACCACCAAGAAAGCAGTTCCGGGAGCAGAGCGTGTCCTTTGGACCTGAGGTTCCTGCGCAGAGAAGCTCCCAGACCAAGGGAAGATCGATGACATGGACCTTCCTACAGAGCTGACACAGAAAGCGTTCCCCTGGAGCTGAAGCCCTGAATTTGGACTTGCAGCCTACTGGACTGTGAAGAAATAAACTTCTCTTTTTAAAGCCACCCACTTGTGGTGTTTCTGTTAGAGCAGCAATAGATGACTGAGACACTCAATGACACCAGCAACATTTCAACTCTGTAGGCCTTAAGCCAGAGGTTGCCATGGGCAGAGATTTAATGGGTTTTTTTAGACACCTGGCTCCATTTCCATCCCACGCCCAGATTCCTCAGCTTCGTCTCACAGGAAAGGCTATGGCTGGGATCCTGGAGCCCTGGAGGGCGGTGCACTTCAACACCCACTCCAAGATGAGCGAAGGCCCAGCTTGGCTCCCCCTGCTCCTCCAGCCAGGTCAGCGGGTATCCACGGGTCCACAGCCTGAGGTGATGCTTTAAAGCCACTTTGGGCTACAAAGAGGTGTCCCCATTGCCCACTGCTAGCCAGTCACTATCCTCAATTCAGGCATGGTTGCTCCTTTCTGCTGACATCACTGAACACCTCTCTCCCTCAGAAGGCCCACGATTCCGTGGCAGAGTACTTTTCCCTGAGGTGAAACCCCAGTTCTCTTCACCTCTGAGACTATTGCGAACATAGATTACCAAGGGTGGGCTGTGGCAATGATTATAATGGCTACTCTCTATTAGGAGGCAGTAGGCGTAGTGGTTACAGGCAGAGTCTGGAGCCAGATTGTCTAGATTTAAACCCTGGTCTTGCTGCTTACTTGCTGTGTGATCTTGGACATGTTACTTAACTTCTCTGTGTTTTTGTTTCCTCATCTGTAATGGGAATGATAATAGTATTGACCTCAAAGGTTGTTCTGAGGCTAAAAGTGTTAACTTCTGTAGAATCCTTCAGGAGTGCTTAGCAGTTTCTAGGTAATTGCTTTTATTATTATTTAGTGAGTAGTTACAATGTTTCTAGGTGCTGTATAAGCATATAACATATTCTAACTTGATTTGCCCTCCCAACAACTTCATAAGATGCTACCCTCCAAATCCATTGCCATGGAGTTGATTCTGACTCATAGTGACCCTATGGGACAGAGTAGAAATGCCCCATAAGGTTTCCAAGGAGCGGCTGGTGGATTCGAACTGTCAACCTTTTGGTTAGCAGCCTGAGCTCTTAACCACTGTGCCACCAGGGCTCCATAGTATTCTCATTTCCCTCCATTTTATAGATGAGGGAACTGAGACACAGAAAGGTTAAGTGGTTGCTCAAGGTCATAGAGTTAGTAGGCGACAGAGTCCAACCCAGGTGTTCAAGGCCAGAACCCACAACCCCTGGGCTTTGTTGCCTTAAAAGCATACAACTTTCCCCCACTGTCCTGAGGATATCTACACAGTAGAATGTCATAGATTTGTTTTTAACTAATATGATTATTGAACTAACTAACATGTTAACCAATATGATTCTTTTCTCCCAAGGGCATTGGGGCCCCGTAAACAATTGGTCTTGGATGGGATTTGATGTCACAGAGCTCCTGAGACCCATGGGGTGCTCTCTTGGCTCCAGCCAGTTGCAGGAAGTCCACTGGTCGGCAGTGGTGGGCTGTGGGCCTGCTGGTCTCCTGCAACATGCAGCCACCTCTATTGGCTGACAGGGGTGTGTGAGCATGCATGTGGGGAAGAGGCAGCTGCGCAGTATTCATGGGGAGGAAGGAAGCTCCAGCTGACCAGACTGGTGTCTTCCGGGCTCCTGCTTCCGCGATCCTGCTCCTCTACCCCCACCCGCTCCACATCCCCAAGCACACACATCTTCACTCTCTGACTCCCACCCTCTGCCTCTCTGCCTAAGCAGAGACCCCAGCTGTGGGATCCAGGCCCTCTTCAGAGACCAGAATCACTTCAATTTCAGCTGTGCCATGCTGCTCAGGGTGTACCCTGGACCCAGGCCTTCCCATGACTGGTGCCCATATTGGCAAATCCTGTTACCTGGTGAGGATGGCCAGGTGACTCCCCAGCTGACAGGCTCTCCATGCCAACCCTTCTGCTCCACTGCAGGCTCAGCCCCCACCAAGGATACTTGTTCCTGGCTGGATGGCAGCGACTATCCCAATGAAATGGGACTGACCGTGACTTGGCAAGCTCAGAGGAGCTGCAATCCTATAAACAGGTTGGGGCTCCACCCCCAGGTCACTCCCTCAGCCCAGCATCTTCCCCTCTTCCCTCAAGAGGCTGGGTCAACCAGCATCTCCAGAAACACCTGTCTCAGCTCCAGGACCCACAGGCGGGGCAACCCTTCCAGGCATGACCTGGGTTGTCAGGGTGGAAGTTGCAGCCAAGGGGAGGAAGACAGTCCCTGTTGCAGTGTCAGGAAGCTGTCCTTGAGGTTGAGAGCAGAGGACTGGGGGCTGGCAGAGCTGAAGAAAGAAACCCTTGCAGCTCAGCCCCAGCCTGAGTCCAGGCAGCCTCAAGGGAAGGAGGCCCAAACACCTCAGACCAGGCAAAATGCCAGAGGTCCTTGGCAGCGTGGTTAGAGTAATACAGATATTCGTGGAGGTGGGTCTTGGGCTAATGCTGGATCCTCACCTGGCCCTGAACAGACTCTGAGAGCCGCTGACGGGCCTGGACAGCGCTCAGCCTCTCGGCTCCTCACCCTCAACTCCACCCTCACACCCTTGGGTTCAGCTGGTCCTGGGAGTTTAAACCAGTTGCCGTTTTGTAGATTTTGACTTCTGGCGACCCCATGTGTTCAGAGTAGAACTGCGCTCCACAGGGTTTTCAGTGGCGGCTTTTTCAGAAGTAGATAGCCAGGCCTTTTTTCTGAGGTGCCTCTGGGTGGACTTGAAACTCCAACCTTTCCATTAGCGTTAACCGTTTTCACTCCCCTTGGAGTTTAGAGGATTTCTATTAGAATCAAATGGCTATCTTTGCGATAAAGGTAAAAGGGACCAATCAGGAAACTTTTAGAGCAATAACCCTGCAGAACAAAACTTCGTGAGGTCACCTAACTGCTTAAGCTATTCAGTGTGCACAATAGCATTGAATGCTCTCCTAAAATGACATACTTTCGCTATGGAACTGAACAATAATGGCTTGTTTAGCAAGGCAAATGAAACTGTATTAATCTTAAATGATTACAAACAAGTCGCAAATGTCTTATCACAGAACAGGCCAAAAAAAGAAAATTAACAATGATCTATGAACACGTGAAAAATAAATGAACAGGAAATATTTCTAATTTGCATGAACCAGATTTACACTGAATGAAATAGACAATATAAAATATAGAAAATTACAAAGAAGAGCTTATTACAAAGTGGGCCATATACAGAACAATGTACAAAGTCACCCAATGGGTGGCTGGCAGAGCTCGGTGTATACTTGGGCCTGTCTGGACTGGAAGCCTGTGCCCCCTTCCCCAGACTGGGCTCAGCCTGACCTGGAGCCCACCCACCATGACTGCTCTCATTACTGGTGGCTTCTGTTGTCTGGAGCAGACCCAGAGCAACCTCGGATCTCAGGAGTACTGGGAAAATGCATCCTCCTGGGGTGTGAATTAACACCTTCTCCCTCAACTGATGTGGGCACCTCTTGGGAGGCCTAGAGAGACAGAGCCGCAACGTCATCACCTACTAGGGGACTCCAAGCCTCAGGCCTCTGCATCAGCATGAGAGGGTCGGGTACCCCCCAGCCCTCGGAGACAGGACCCCTGGGCTGAACTGGCTGGGCTGGGAGGAGGGCTTGTTCTCAGTTTCCAATCTGTCTGTCTATTAATGACGTGGTAGATGCTGGGCCTGGAGAAAAACATGAAATTCCTGACTCAGAGAGTCTTAATTTGGGGCTAGGCTCCATGGATGGGATTTAGGGTAGTTCCAAGAGTCCCTGAAATTGTATGCAAAATTATGCAGGTAAGCGTGCATGGGAATGTTTCTGGAAAAAGGATCTAGAGCAGCACTGTCCAGTAGAAACATAATGAGAACATATGTCATATTACATTTTCCAGTCGCCACATTAAAAAAAGTAAAAACATACAACTGAAATTGATTTTAATAATTATTTTATTATTAGATGACAAATATAAAAACCAAACCAAACCTGTTGCCGTCGAGTCAATTCCAACTCATAGCGAACCTATAGGACAGAGTAGAACTGCCCTATAGGGTTTCCGAGGAGCGGCTGTGGATTTGAACTGCCAACCTTTTGGTTAGCATCTGAGCTCTTAACCACTGCCCCACCAGAGCTCCATAACAAATATATAATTATATAATTAAATGATGTATTTTATTTAATCCAAGATATCCAGGATGTTATAGATTCAATATGTAATCAGTATCTAAAATTATTGAGATATTTCACGTGTTTTTTTTTTTCCATACTAAGTCTTCAAATTTACTGAACGTTTTATGCTTGCAATACATGTCAATTCAGACTAGCTACATTTCAAGTGCTCAGTAGCCCCGTGTGGCTAAATCAAAAAAACCAAACCTGTTGCCACTGAGTCAATTCTGACTCAAAGAGACCCTATAGGGCAGAGTAGAACTGCCCCATAGGGTTGACAAGGAGTGCCTGGTGGATTCGAACGGCTGACCTTTTGATTAGCAGCCGAGCTTGGGCTAGTAGCTATGATATTGGAGAGCGTAAGTGTTTCATAAGATTCTCCAAAGAGTTTTATGACTGCACAAAGATTAAAAACCACTGCTCAATGTGTCACCTTGGTTACTCCCAGTCTAGGAGGGCCACAGGGTTCTGCCTGGCTGAGAGGAAATAGTTAGGACCCTCCAACAGCAGCTTCCCTTTATTTATGTGCCAAGACTCAGGAATTTACTTGGTTGGGACCCAAGGTGGGAAGGGGGAGGGGGCAGGAACAGAGAAGCAAAGTTGTTGTTCCCAGGCTAAAGCAGTGAAGACCTCCCCACTCCACCATGCCAGGACTGTGAGTAGGGAGCAGGGAAGAGACAAGGTAGGCCAGGAAGGATAAAGACAGGGTGAGCAGACAGAAGAGAGCAGAGGAGATCTGCAGGCGGTCAATCTAGAACAGGGTTGGGCAGCACAGCTGGGTGTGGTTGAGGCTACATGTTGTTTTCTTAGGCCAATGGGATCCTCAGGGGAAAGGCACGCCTGTGGGCCCCACCAGAGCAGGCCTGACCCAGCTGACAAGCTGGAGGAGGTCTTGGGCACCTGTATTTTACATCATGTCATCCCTCTCCCTTGCTGGGCTCTCTCCTTCTACTCTCTCTTCTCAAAATTTGCTCTACACGCACACTAAATGAACATTTATTGTTTTTTCACTCATCATTTATACCTCCCTTACTTCTGTTCTGGTAAAAACATATCCCAAATTTCCTCTGGGGAGCTATCCTTTTCCCACTCTCCATTGCCATGGTGATGCCAAGTGGTGTTGACACCACCTCCAGCTGTAAGAATGCGTGTTTAGCATCTAACTAATCAGCATATGAAATCCACCCCCCCCACCCCCCCCCCCGGCCATGGTGATGGGTTCATTGGATTCTCTTGACTCAACCTGATCCAGTTAAAGTAAATCCTGGTGCTTGGATTTCCGGAAGAGACGCTTTATCTTTCCTGCTGAACGAGAACCTGGGAGGATATGAAGCTAAAGCTGCTGAATGTAGCCACCTTGCCACCACAAAAGGAAACGTGTCGGAAAATGGAGTCAATAATAATAGTTAACAGAATGTTTATCATGTGCCAGCAGAGGCGGGTTTAGTGTGAAGTAATGATGCTTAGAGCTGGGTCTTCCTCTTGAACATGCCCTTCAAAGCTTCGAGAGGAGCCCTAGCAATAAGTCCTTGTGGTCATAGTTGCTGCTGTTGTTAGGTCCCGTTGAGTCAGTTCTGACTCACAGTGACCCTATGTACTATAAAATGAAACACTGCCTGGTCCTGCCCAACCGTCACAATCATTATGCTTGAGCCCATTATTACAGCCACTGTGTCAACCCATCTCCTTGAGGGTCTTCCTGTTTTTTGCTGACCCTCCACTTTACCAAACATAATGTCCTTCTCCAGGGACTGATCCTTCCTGATAACATGTTCAAAGTATGTGAGACAGTCTCACCATCCTCGCTTCTAAGGAGCATTCTTGCAGTATTTCTTCCAAGACAGATCTGTTCATTCTTCTGGCAGTCCATGTTATATTCAATATTCTTCACTCATACCACAATTCAAAGGCATCAATTCTTCTTCTGTCTTCTTTATCCGTTGTCCAGCTTTCACATGTGTACGAGGCCATTGAAAATATCATGGCTTGGGTCAGACGCTCCTTAGTCTTTAAAGTGAAATCTTTGTTTTTTAACACTTTAAAGAGGACCTTTGCAGCAGATTTGCCCAAAGCAATGCATCGTTTCATTTCTTCACTGCTGCTTCCATGGGTTTTGATTATGGATCCAAGTAAAATGAAGACCTTGACAACTTCAATCTTTTCTCTGTTTATCATGACGTTGCTTATTGGTCCAGTTGTGAGGATTTCTGTTTTCTTTATGTTGAGGTGTAACCAACCCTGAAGGCTGTGGTCTTTGATCTTCATCAGTAACATATATATATATATATATATATATATATATATACATATATATATATAGTGCTTTCAACGGAACAGTGTGATACCAGGGGTAGATCCATATTCTATGGGGCCTGATGTTTATACAAATTGATACAAAATTAGGTACAAGAGTAATAAATATATATGTATATATATATAAAACATTTTTATTCATTGTCCTCATTTTACAAATGAGGAAACTGAAGCAGGAATTGGTGGGGGAACTGCTCCGAGGTCACGCGGCGAATCTATTCCAGAGGCAGTGCTCTCAACCACCTTATGTGATACTCTCTCCAGAGGAAAGAGGGAGGATCAAGCCTTGCCTGAAGGAAATAGATCTAGTCTCAGCCCCTCCTCATCTACTTTGACTCCAGGAAATAATGGTTCAGTCACTCACCTCCCTTTACCTTCCCCTAGAACAGCAGTCACAGGAGTCACTCAGTGACAGTGTCATAGGCGAGAGGAGGCAGCTGACA